ATTGACCCCCATAGCCGGGGGCCCCTGTGGGCCCTGACAGAGAAACCGTCTGGCTCAGCACGCTGAAAGCAAGCAACGTTTGGGGGTTGTTTGTTGCCGGAGGAGAGGTGAGTGTGACGAGGATGTGGAACATAATCAGCAGGCAGGAGCTCAGTGATGTAACGTTGTGTTATAACTTACTCTCAATGTAAAAACATCACGGCTCCAATGTGCGGTTTGGAAAACAGAATAGTTTCTCCGCTGGAGGTCTTGATCAGACAATCGTTCCTTGCACATAGCGTTTACTTCTTTCTGGGGAGGGTGTTGTACATTGTTCTGAAACCTCTCTCATGCTTGTTGGCTTAAAAAAAAAAAAAGGAGCTTGAATCTTTTTTGTCGTGCCACAACAAGGATCCATTTGTAGCTCGTGTTGATGTCTATACCACACAATCTCCCTTTCAACCTGAAACTATCCTGGTCATTGGGTTGTGTAATATCCGAGCAAGCATGAGGACTCCTTGCTTCGTCACATGCGCAGCACATGTTGGAGAATAACACGGATCTAAAAAAAAGCGTGGGAGGGCCTGAGGAGTGGAAAGTAATACGCAGCAGAAGGAGGGAGGGAGGTTTGTGTAGAAGAGCTGATGGCCGTGGAGGAGGGCTGCTGGGTTGTTACCAGGGTGAGGGGGGGGCGACGGGAGGGTAAGAGGGCACAGCTGATGAGGAAAAGGTCACTGTGCAGCGCTTGAACCTCATTACTGAGGACCGTTTTCAGATGCCTCCGCTCAGCCGGGACACTAAAAGCTGACGGGGACTTTTTCAGAGTCCTGCACTGTCTTCTCTTTATTTTGGGTTGTTAAGTCACATTTATTCTAAAATGATGGAATTCATCCACATTCAAATACAACTAATAATCTAGGTCGTACGCCTCCGTATCCGCAATCTTTCCATGTTCTGTTTGCGGTCTTTAGAACTATATTTCTTTGAACTCAAAAGTCAGATTTGGAACATCTTCTCCCCTCTGTCTGTAATCGTGTATCAGCTGTGCTTGAGGTTTCTATCTATTTTCCTTCACTGGGTCCCTTTTTTCCCCCTCTTAATTTCCCCGTCTTTTCAAATGCCGTTTTAATTAGTGAGTTCATCGGTTTTCTATCTCCCGCCCAATCCGTCTCCTCTTCACGTCGTTCTCCGGAGACTCTGCATGAAAGCCGTCCGCTGCTCCTTCCGCCTGTGTGTTGATCGAAACGTCCACATTCAATCCCCTCCAGAGGCGCCGCCGATGCCTCGCGCGTGTCGCAGTGTTATTTCAACGTTTGTGTGTGTGTGTGTGTGTGTGCGTCACACGCGAAGTACGTGCTCAGGAGCTGCTCCCTCAAAATAGTGTTTTCATTTGTGAAAGAAGGACATGAAATGGCCTCTGCAGGGAGGACGACCGCTTTTAAAGTGAAGAACAAACGGCCGTATTGAGTGCGAGGCGGTGCACGCAAGGGTGAGGCCAAACTCTGTAAGCTTTGGAATGAAGAGCTAAATCTATCGTGAATTATAAGCTCAAACTCCCCGCCGGCCTGAATACCACCCACAGTTGTGTCACAGCTCGCCTGCGACACTCGGGGGGGAAAATGAGATCTTCAACGGGCGCCGCGGTGGCTTTTTGGGGTGGATTCAGCTCTGAAGTCCAAACCACACATGCTCAAACACCTGACCAAAGACAAACGTCCCCGGTGGTCCTCACCCCCCCCGAGGCAGAGAACCACATAAATAATAAATCCATCTTGATTTCGTTTGAGGTTTGTTTGTTTGGGAGAAAGTGTGAGTTTCATGTGGCGTCCGAGCAGAGCTCTGTTTGTTAATTGCAGGGCAGGATTTACGTATTTAGTGACGTCACGTTTCATAAATGAATAGAAGTGAGACTGAGCTTAACTTCTCGCCCTGAATAACCAGTGCGGGAGGGGGTTGCCTGTCCGTTGGACGATGAAGTCTGTTTAGTCCGGCCGCGCTGTAATTCCAGGGTTTTCTCCATGTCGGCACCCGCAGGTGGAGCTGACACAACAGATTTTCTGATGATGAAACGCTACCTTTTCACCCTGCCTTTTAGAGCCACTTTTAATCAACATAATGCCTGATCTGTATGCTGTGCTAATGAGTCTGGTTTAACCGGGAGTTTTAAGATTCGATAAGCAGGAAAGCAAACTGTTACAAACAAGTTATTGTAAAGCAGAGCATCGCTTCTTCTTCTGCAGAGCTGACGGGTGGATTTAGTGTGAAAGGGCTTTATATAACCTCTTTAAATGTTCTATTGTTCTAAGGGATCCTCCACTTCAAGCCTAACGCTGAATTCCTTTCAACTTTCAGCTCAATGATCACGTTGACGTCTTACTGACAGGCGGCTCGGTTCTTACTGTCAAAATGTCAATGTCTTTGTTCAAAATGAAAACAGAAAAGGCGCTTCATCTTCTTAATGTGCCCAAAATAAACATGATAAAAAACTTTTAAAAACGTATCATTCGTGGCTCCTGAGGTGTGCTGGTTTTAGATCACGGGAACATCTTTTGTTCCGTGATCTAAAGTGAATCACACAATCAAATATATATTGCTCAAATATCATTTTGATTCATTTCTTGAATTCTTTTGAATAAAGTATATTTTCTTCATATCTTATTCATTCACTTCTGACTGTTTACGCCGACCTGGCTTAGGGGGCGTGGCATCACGTGAGCGCGGCGTGTAATCCCGAGTGACAGCTTCACAAAGAAGGCTGCAAGGCTTCAGGAAACATAAGTTGATTTTAAAGTAAGCTGGCACATCACCGCCTCTGTATTAAAACACTTCCTCCAATTAACATAATCGACAGAGAATGCCGCATTTTAAATATTTGAAAGGCTGTAACTTCCCACAAACCGTACTTGTATGTAGCGGCTCACGCTGTGGAAACGGATGAGACGGTTGACACAACGGCCCACATCACTTTTTAAAGGGCTGCGTTATTAATTCACGCCAAGGCAGACGGGCTGCAGCGCGTTCCTCACATATTGATCCAGCCGTCGATACTTTCAGGCTGACGCACCGTATGTAATCCCGGAATGTTCCATGGTGCTGCAGCTGTAGGACGTTACACGCTGGGAGATATATTGATATTAATGATATTACAGATGCATTTGTCGTTTATTCACAAACATGATGCTAGTTTTAATAAATACACACACACACACACACACACACAAGGGACTTGATCTGTCACAGGTGTGTTGTTGTATCGATTCCCTGTAAGTGTGTTGTCGTCGGCGCTGCGTGTGGTGCATTGCCTCTCAGCCTTTGGTTCACAGGCGGCGATTGATCGGCGTCCGATAGAGGACAGAGGACTCCTGGTTACTGAGGCGCGGGATCGCAGCCGCCTGCCCGATGAGCTCGGCTTGTTAACATGAAAGGCTCCTGAGTGTCATTGGGGGTCTCGCCGGTTAAAATGGAACAAATCCGTGTGACCAATAGCTGCCTTTTTTGTGCTTTTATTTTTATTTGATCACAACCAGGTGATGCACAATGAAGTCCATCCCGTGGGATTAAATGTCTAAAGCAAATTGATGTACGTTTCCTAAATTCAAAACCGAGACGGACAGAACATTCTGGTCCAGAGTGAAACGGTTTCTCTGCACGGTTGTAAAATGTTGCTCACACATTTAGATCCGGAGCCCCTGATGCAAAATCATTCCCCTTTTTGAAGTGTGGAATTTAATTTGATTCTTATCTTTTTTTTTCCTTTTCTAATTTGTCCTCCAAATGTCTCTGACTATCTACATTATCTGAAATTAAAAATGGATTAATATTGATCACCGGGGCTCCAGAGGGTCTAGATATTTTTATCTGGCAGAAAAGTTATGTCTCGTGTTCGACTTCCACTATCAATGATCCGTCTTCACTTGGGTTGCTCATGTCCAGCCCCCATGTTGGTACCGGACTACCTGCTGAGTGGTTGCTGACTCCTTAAGTTCTTCCAGCAGATCAAACGATTGCCTTTAATGTGTTGTTTCTCCGTTACAGAGAGAAGAAAAGTGGCACTCATTCATATTATCTTTATTTATATTATTCATATTATCTGCAGGTATTTGCAGACTGATTTATTTTATTTAGTTGACTCTCACGTGGGGCCCCCGTCTCCAGTCCTGAGATCTCCAACCGTCTTCACCTGGATGTAAACGAGGGACAGTTGATGGGGACGGATCCGAGTGGTCCTCTCTGCTCGGCTCCCTTCCACTCCGTCTTGGCTGAGCTTTACTCGTCTGGCAGCAGGTTTCTTTTTATCCCTGCCTACACGCTTTGAATACTATTCAGCTCCCTGCAGGCAACAATTGGCACAACATAAGACCTTTTCCCTTTTTTGCTCTAGATTTCAAAGAACAAAAATCTGTCGGTACATTGAATTTTATCCCAGTGACCGGGGGTTTCTGAGGGGTTCAAAGGGGAGACAACTTAAAGGCTTCTGCCTTTTAAGGGAGCGGTCAGTTGTTCCTCCAGTACCGATCACACGGCTTGATAATAAAGACCCCCCCCCCCCCTGGCGCTGCCAGCTTGTTGACAGAAACGCTCTAATTAAGCCGGCCACCTTATTTTCTATTATTTGCCGTCCTTTGGGGAAAGTCCTGTTTAAACTGTGATGACGCAACAGGATGCAGATCATGCTCTTTGCTGTCTCACTATTTGAAGTTTATTTTCATTGTTCTTCAACGTGCTCTCAAAATGCTATAGGAACCATAGAAGAAGTCCGGAAGCCAGTTCATTTTATTTTCAAAGCACTTTTATTCTCAACTTTCTTTTCCCTTGTTTTTGAGCCCAAGTTCGGTTTCATGCCTTTCACGGCGTGTTTATTTCTGTCCCATTGAAACCCTGCGGAAACGGGCTGAGCGCCTGTTTTGCGTCTGAAGACACATTTAGAAATGCTGCCAGGCTCCGATTCTGTTTTTCAGCGCGTTGACTTTTTTTTATTTTATTTTTTTTATGTCTGACCTATTTTTTTCTTTATCTTTCAGAATATTCTATGTGTCTCATGATTCACAAGATCTGAAGATATTCAGCTACATCGCCAGAGACGGACAAAGCAACGTCTTCCGCTGCAATGTCTTCAAGTCCAAGAAGAAGGTAAAAAAGAAGGTTGAAAATGTCTCACCTTTTAACGGAACTGGCCCTGTTATTATTGAGTGGCACAGAATGTTAACACAGCATTTTATCCATTTTTTGGCAAAGAAATGAAAAAATATATATGTGTATATATTTTGAGATTTGTAAACCGTTAAAAAGAAGATGAAAACGCACACGGCATCACGTCTTGTTGAGGCTTCAGGTACATGTCGGAAACCCACTTGGGCCGGAGGCGTTTCTGCAAGACCGTGGAAAATAGTAACAGTGTCCGGCAATGTGACAACGTTGGATAGGAAATGTATTCCCAGATTTCTGTAGACTGTAAACTCGTTGACAGGATGCATTCTCAGAGATCTAGTGTACACACACACACACACACACACACACACACACAGGCTGGTTTCCAGCTTAATGGCCCCATGGTTATACTGCAGTTTCCCCAGAGAAATTTGGCATGAATTACATTTTCATTTGGTGTGTGTGTGTGTGTGTGTGTGTGTGTGTGTGTGTGTGTGTGTGTGTGTGTGTGTGTATTGATTTACACTGTGGTAGGATAAGGAGAGACAATGGGGAAGATGATTTGTTTTAAAAGAACACCATCATGTTTTATATTTGCATCTCATTCATTAGCTGCTACGCTTACTAAGAGTGACCGGGGGAATTTGTTCAGTCAATATGTTTTTAAGAGATTATTTCACGATTGAGACATTTTCTGTGTTCTCCGTGTGAATGACGGCAGGCAAAGCACCTCGCACTGTTAAAATCCTCAGGTTATGTTTTGCTACCATAGACACTAAGTGCTCTTGGAACAATATTTTCCCAACGTAGCCATTGAGTTATTTGTTCGTGAAGATTGAATGTGACCCTGGATCCTGACTGAACCAGCGCCTTGTGATTGGGCTCTTTGTGTTTTTCCTTGGGCCCTCTGTAGTCCGCTCACTGGTTAGATCTAAGAGGTTTGAATTGTGATTGGTCAGTGAACAGTATGTTCATCTGGTACTCCTAAATACTAGTGCGAGACTAAAAGTTTATTCATATTGTGAAGTTTGAAGAAGAGCTTTCAGAAGAAACATGTCTGTCAATTCCGGCTCATTACAGCATCGTTGTTTCTTTGACACTTTAGCTTAAAGCTGCAGGTTTTAATGCCGAGCCTACAGTTTATATGACCATGTTCAATATAATACAATGTATTATATATATATAATCTTTTGCGTTGCTTTATATAACATAAAGCATAAGCAAAGTCTACTTGTCTGCATGTTAAAAGCATACTGGACCGTTCAGAGATCTAGAGAAGTCCAGTTAGCCAATCGAGCTCTAAGGCAGCAGATACTAAAGGTTTAACGTGTATTGTACATAGACGACACAAAGAAAGAGAAAATGTATTGGGTTATATCGAACAAAAATGATGAAACTCGGCGGCCTGATAAGAAAGGAATGGGTATGTATCACTGCCCTTCAAAGCAGTGTGATCTTGTGTGTGCGGAAGGTTGCAAGTGTAAGATGAAGTAGGAGATTAAGCGTCCTTATTTCCTTCCTAACTACCGGAATTGGAAAAACTGCTGCGCTTTAAATCACTGTGGAAATAAAAAGACTTTAGTGGCCATCGGCTGTATGAGGACTGTGTGTGTCTCATCCTGACTCGTACGCTCTCGCTCTCCCCCGTCTTCCTATTCACCGTTTAAAGGAGGCTAATGAATGACCTGGCCTCTGTTATGTAGCATTCAAGTGACAGTGATGGAGCAGAGATCAGGGAGGGAATACTGAATGCTGCCTCTGCTGGGAGGTCGGTTTTGTGTGCGTGTGATTGTGTGTGTGACCCTCCAAAGCCATTGTATTCATGTGTGCTTTGTGTGATTAACTCACAGCAGCTCTGCTGTCACTAGGTAACCCTGAAATGACCACTTTACATTTGTATTATGGGGAAAACTCAAACACATGGATGGATATTCCTCATGGTAGTTCTTATTTAGAGCCAATAAGCCCATCATATTTAGATGTGCTTTACATTAGAATCATGTAAGTGGACAATCCCTTTTAATTTAACCTTCACCACAAGCTCCCCCCAAAACCACAGCGATATAAATTGTGGTTCATATCGTCCATCGCTGGACGAGATGTATGCAAGCAATCCCCAGGGACGCAAACGGGACCGATCAGAAAAGGCTTTCTTTCCAAGTACTGTTCTACTAAGTATTCGTTTGAAGTACATAAAATGTGGTGGATTTATGTCCTCAACGGGATGTTTGAATACAGTTGGAGTAGATGAATTTCACTGCGGATCGATCCTCTTTTCATTGACTTTGGGGAGTGCTCATAAAAGATGACGCATGGCCATTTGCAGGCTTTTCCGTGAGAAGGACTCAACGTGGTTAATTGGTTTGAATAACCTTTCAGCTCCTTTTATTGAACATCCATCTCTCGGTGAAATGATCCGTCTGTCTAGAGCTTTGTCTCTCACTCTTTACGTTTCGTTTTTATTTCTCTGTCTAGTCTATTGGTGGCAGCTGCAGGACACACGTTTTCAGGCCGCGTCCTCCTCCAGTCTCACGATGGGACACGTTTCTCGACCCGCTGCCTGCTCGGGCGTCTGTGCCGCTACACCTGAACCCTTTCTTTGATAACAATGTCCCAGCATGTGTTTATACACCTGCTTCATATGCTCTAAATATGCTCTGGTCGGCCTACTGAACCCTCGCTCAGTGCTCAGCCCACAAGGCGCCACTGTGCCGTCGCGACTTCGTTCCAGCACTCGAAGCCGCTGACAGTCGCTCGCAAACCGGCCCCCTGATTACCTCGCGTTGTGGCCCGATAACGTCCGTCTGCGGTGCTCTCGCACTCCGGGTTATTGCTCCCACTCGTCCCTCTAATTTCTTTGAGCCAATCGATGTGTTCAATTAACGTCGGCCGCGGTGATTAGTGGACTAGTGGTGATCAGGAAGTCCAGGTAGGACGACTAAGTCTCTTTTTGTCTACGCTACAGAGTTCTTGAGGATACGTACACACAGGAAGAAAAGAGAATGAACGATCTCATCAACAGAGAGGAAAAAGGTTTCAATCAGAAGAAAGTCTCTGCCGTCCTCATTGTTTACCTTCCTTTTTCCTAAATTGCTTTATATTCCCTTTTGTCCCCCTCCCTTTGCTTGTGCCAAGACTTTCAAAAAGACAGCAAAGGCACCGCTGAAGCTCTGTGGCTAATCTGGGATGAATAATGCATGGGCCTTTTGACTGGGCCCGGTCCAATGGCCGCTAGGACCGACTCCTGCTCACCGGCAGCGTGATGCAGAGAGGCTGCGTTTACTCACAGGAGAAGTGGTGGGGACAGCGATGGAGGAAGAGTGCTTCACACAGACGGTGACGGATGTCCTACAAGTGACCAACACCACTGCGGTCTTCTGAGAGGAAGAGCAGAGTGTTTGGAAAGCACCGTCTGTTCGACAAAAGGTGTAAACCACACCGACATTTGTAAAGCATCAAGTGTTCAGCGTTTTGTGACCTACCACCTCCACGTTGACCAGGAGGTCCGGCTCAGCAAAGTAAAAAGCGCCGGGTCATCGCTTGAGGAACATCGTGGCCATCGGGGCGACACAAGACGCTCAAATGTCGTCCACCGAATCCAATTTGAGTAACGGATGAAACCGCAAGGTACTACACAGCAGTTCAGAATATAACGATGTAGGATTCTGCAACTTGGTAACGGTTCCACAGAAGAAGTCCTTTTTGTTTGCCCTTGCGATGATCACCAGGCGAGGGTCGAGACGCCAGAGTAACCCGTCAGGAAGGCGGCGTGTCAATGCTGCCCGAAGGCGCCTTAAAGGTGCTGTGTCCAAAACAAAGATGTGCTTATTCTGCTACTTCGATCCGCCACTGGTTCACGTGTGTAAACATTTTTGTGAAACAATGACGCAAGAAGTCTGTGCGTCATCGCTCACTCTGATCTCGTGTTTAGAAGCATAAAGAACACAACCAGCGTCCCTCTGTCTTTCATCCTCCAAGTGAAACGGCATGTGAGGGGTTTCATTTCAACGACGCCTGTAACTGCTTCTGTAATACACGGCTCTCCATTCCCCCCCGAAGAGCCTACGAAGCCACTTGTGCCCACTGAGTGTAACTAAAAATGAGCTCACATCCCTTGTCCTTCCAGCTTCCTGGTTAGTTTAGATCTGTAAGAGCCTGGTCATATAAATATGTCCCGACGCTTGGCTGTGAGGTCGTGTCCCTGACGTCTGATTCTCCGACCCTCTGCTTCATCGCGTCACATAGATGCTTGGATTCAATTTTAGAGCTTTACCACTTCCTATGTGTAGTTTTCAGTGATACTAATAGTTTCCCGACCTCTGAACCCCGGCCTAAATCATGTTTGTGCTCCGTGACAATTTTCTCTTAATTGCAAAACAGTTAAGCCAAAAAGTTAGATGGTTGTGAGTCAATACTTTCCCCTGGGAGACGTTTAGCTGAGTTCAGTGGACAAGTTGCATTTCACACTTTTCGGCAAGTCAAACTGTTACAAGTACAAACAGACAGAGACTTTTTTGTGCTTCCTTATGAATCTTACCAATCAGTGAGCGGGAGAGTCGGAGGCAGCTGGTTCCTTTGGTGTGTGTGGAATGACAACAGCATCTGTCATCATCTCCTGTTCGACTGCCTCTGGAAATGTCTTCAGAGGAAAACACACAGGTTTACGGTCTCCCTGAGGACCAGCGTGGGTTAGAAGGACGCGAACGGAGGGTCCACAGAGGAGGAGGACGATGAACCCCAGGTGATTAATGGAGGAAGAGAAAAGCAGTCTGAGGAGGAGCAGAAGGCAGGGGAGAGTAAGGGAAATGACAAGTGTAGTTAATAGTGTAGTAGTAGAAGTTTACGAACACAATAGTTCAGATACTGGGTTTGGTGCATTTTTCATACTGACTCCAATAGTTTGATCTCTTGCAATCGTTCATTTATCTCTTCTCAGTGCTGGAACAGCGACAGGACTTGTCTGTTTCAGGATATTGAAACTATTTGCTGGAAAACTGGAAAAGAGACACAGCAACACAAGTTAGAAGCTAAAGATGATTTAGGATAAAAACTGCGGCGAGGTGTGAGTTACGTGTTCTTAGTCTGCACTAGTCTACATTTATGTAAAGTTACAGGTTGCTTTCATCAATTCAATCGTACCGAAGCAACACTTTGCCATGACTGCAGCAGGTGATTGTTTCAAACGATCAATAAATCTGTCTAATTAAACACTGTCAGATAAAAGAATGAAAAGGTGGAGGCTACAAAGACTCCTTAGTTACTGCTGGAAGGAGCTGCTCTGCTCTCCGGCTCAGTAGGCGTTGAACGTTTTTCAAATCCTCTTTTGTTTTTGCCACTGCAGGCAGCTGCTGCCCGGTCACTATGGGAACAACATCAGCACCAAATGATGCTGAAGCAGGACGGTTGATAAAGAACACACTGTGATGGAATGTGTGGAGTCTTTCTGAAAAAACATACTCAAACAAACCGTTTAGACCTATAATGTAACTGATGTGACTACTACATCATATTTGTCATCTAATGGTAGTGCTCAGGCCGCATACTATTCTGAGGTTTTTAATCGGGACATGGAAGGATCGGCAGCGTCTTGATTGCCATCGGGTCTTTAGGCGAGACTACATCTATTCTGCTGCTACTACAATAAGCCAGACAAGAGGGGGGAGGACGGCAGACAGAAGTCGCAGAAGTTGTTTTCGCTTGACCTGCCTTTTCGGAGCTGGGCAGATGACGAATAAGCAAACACATTTGGCTTTTTGCACCTGAGGACAAAGAAAGAATTCAGTGAGAAATAGAAACAACATTGTGATATTCCCCATAGTGAGGATACAGATGCAGATAAACTCCTCTGAGACGTGATTGTGCCAAATCATCAGGTGACCTTGTGGGACTGTGTGTCCTATATAGATGATTTTATACTGCCTGTTGTTTAAAAACAGATAAACAAGTCTGGGGTAAACGTTCTTCCAGTCAGCATCTGAAAATGGTGGAAACCATTTGGGATTCCCAGGCTGTGATTTTTGGACGTTTTCTATATCTGGTTTCTTTAGAAGAACTGAATGACTAAGAAAACAAAGGACTATCTACAGAACCGGTCAATTTCAGAATAGAGTTTTGGTTCATAAACACGGCTCCATAATTGAGGGCTTTCAACCAGGTGGCAACACAGAAGTGGAAAGTTGTAAGAATTACAAATGCATTTGCTTTTTTGTTTGTCTTTTCTTTCCCGCCCACCCAGAGCCAGGCCATGCGCATTGTCCGCACAGTCGGCCAGGCGTTCGAGGTGTGTCACAAACTGAGTCTGCAGCACACGCAGCAGAACGCAGACGGGCAGGAGGACGGCGAGAAGAACGGCAACGACTCCACAGGTACACAAACGCACAAACACACACAGGATGACACTTACCGGCCCTCAAGGAGCCGTTGAATACTTGAAACTGTAAAAATGTGTCTAAAGTGATGACCAAAGAAATGAGTAGTCTTAAAGAAGACGTGTAGCCGACAGTTGTGTCCAAGCCAGCGAATCAGTGTGTTAAGTCCAGCTGAGCGCCACTGGCTGTGAAAGCTGCTCTTCTACTGTGAAAGAGAAAAGATTCTGCAAGGGTAACGTAAACTTGTAACAATCCAAGGTTTTTATTTTCTCCCTGACATTGCAACCTGCTCTGATTGATTACCCTGCAGCACAAGTACAATGTGATCAATTCACGAGTGTTGCCTGCCAATCTGAATGACACAGATCTCGACCTATACTGTCTGGCTATCAATATAGTTGCAAGATGACAACCTTAAGGGTTGATTAAATGGATGTCCTCATTTTTAATATACACTTTTGATTACAGTATAATTTTCTTTGTCCAAAAAATAGAGGCCTGTCGATTGTCTGGAAGCCCCACAGAACCTTTTTGTTTTTCTATGTCACCAAGTTTTGAGATCTCAGAAATTGCTTTGTTGAGTCATAAATCTGAAGGCCGAAGCAACACAAATAAAACTATGTTGTAGGAATCTTTAGTTTCCCTTCAAAGAATGTGAGGGAGGGCTGTGGGTTTTTGTGTGTTTTTTTTTGAAGAGAAAGAAAGATGGAGGCATAGAGGAAAGCTTAGCGAGGATCCATTCACTCCCAACGTGAAGACAACTGGTGATGCAGAGAAAAACTCCCCATTTCAGAAAGACCGGACAGACAAACCAGCAAGAAATGGTTCTATTATCTCACGGAATAAAGCTCACCTTGTCCGTAGTGTCCAAGTCTAAAAAGAAGGCTGAAGCTGAAGTTGACAGCAAATTCAGTCGTGTGCACAAACAGCTCGACGCCTCTCTGCAGTCGCGAGTTCTCTGATCAAACTACACACACACACTCATGCGCCGGTACACTTCCCTGCCTCCTCTGTGCCTGAGTTGGTGAGCGGGAGAGGGAAATGCTGGAATGAATGTCACGGATGAGTCAACCCGAAGAAAGAAGGCACCACGCAGAAGCCCCCGGTGGGCTGAGCTGCTTTTATCCTCTGCCTCGTGCCTGGACAGGATGGTCCTCCTCTGCAGCCCGGGGACACGTGGCTCTTGAGAGGACAGACATGGGGATTCGGCTCCAGGAAGACGCTACCATCAGGGCTCTCTCACACCCTCGTTGCACTCATTACGCCAGCCAGCGCTGGCCGCCCTCCGCACCCTGGCCTGTGGGGCCTTTATCTCCACGTTCCCCCTCCAGGCCCCACAGAGACCCGCTCCCTGTCACATGCTGACGATACGAGACGTCACCCACACGCTATGGCTGTACGTCCATGACGGAAGGACCACCACGCGCATACAAACTCGCGGTCACGGAGCGTTGGGTAACACGGGAGCCGTCACGCACAGCCGATGCGCTTATCTGGAGACCTAATTATCCTGGCAGTGAAAGTAGAGGGAGATAGAAGAGTGTGAGATAGCGGATTAGAGGGACGGATAAATGGGGGACAACGTGGATAGTGGAGAAGAGGAAGAGGAGGAGATGGTCGGGTGAGCCAAATGGAGCTCGGGAGCATTTAGGACGAGACTGCAAGAAAAGATCAAAGTACAAGCCCCCGTATGCAGACTGGACAAAGCTCCAACCAGGATCAGACAACCAAAATAATAAAAAGCACCTTGCCAATTAGCCGAAGGATAAAAACAATATACAGGTTTAAGACGGATGCCAAATAACTAATAAGTCTTTATGTTATGTTAACTTTTAAAGGCAAAGATACCAAAAGAATAAGAAGATGATAAAAGGCCTACTAGGTGATGATCCAATAACGTCGACCATATATGGTACACACAACCTGTTAAATGGAGTAAGACCTGCGGATAGCAGCGGGCAGGAGGAAGGTCGGGGTGGAAAGGTGGAGTGGGAGCAGCGGTAATGGACACAGAGCTGAGGGCCGTGCTGCTGGCAGCCACCAGGTTGAAGTGGTTGGAGGACGCTGCAGCGGGATTGGCAATAAAAGAGAACGACAGGAAGGAAAAGGTGTTTGTGAAGGAAAGAAGTACTAGGCTGAAGGCAGGAATGTCCATTTAATACGCCATCAGATTTAGGGTGAGTAAATCTGGAATGATGTGGTCCACTTTGAGCCTTTCTTCTATTGAGCGGTTTTTACCCCGGCGGCTCCATGTCAAAGTGTCCCTGAGCAAGACACCTAACCCCTAATTGCCCGCAGGGCAAAAATGTAAAAAGCCATTGGTTAAAAATGTAATGTAAGTCGCTTTGGATCAAAGCGTCAGCTTAAATGACCTGTAATGTATAGATGTGTTACTTTGCCACGTGGGTGAGCATATTCCCAGTCGCTCCAAGTGGAATATTGTATTTATAGAATAGAAAAGTTGGCAGGAATTCTATCTAGGGGACTCTTGTCAATTATTATGCTCAAGAAAAAAAAAGCATGATGAATATACAACTGGCACCTACAATTCCCATGTTGTTCAATTTACTGTGATGATACACAACCTGAGGCTTTGTAGTCAGACAGGAGCGGCTCCAACTGTGATGACTGTTTTCTGCTAAATCGCCCGGTGAGCCGTATCAAACCGAAATGTAAAATATTCAACAAAACTGTGACCGCTGAAGGCAAAGTCTTAAGATTCTGAGCTGCTCAGCATCCATTCAGTTAAATCAACCCTTTTAGAGTTTTACAAAGTATTGATCTGTTGCTGCTTTCGACCGTGTGTTTTACTGAACTCAATTGCACGGTTCCCTTTGCTAAAGTTGAAAAACTAATGATGATACAGGTAATATTGTTGATACGCATTGGTAAAGGTAAACCAATGTGGCACATGTGTTTATATTTGTTTTGTATAATCAGGCCTCACTGATTTTCAATCATAAAGCAAACCGATAATAATGTTTCTTACCGTGTCCATGTGTGTCCACCCATGTGTGCGTGTGACCATACTCATGCTTACATGCGTGTATGTAGGCGTGCGTGCTTACCCACCTGTATGTGTGTGCACTTTCCTCGGCTCAGCTCGAGAGCTGAGTGGCGCGGAGAAGACGCCGACCGTCTCCGAGGAGACGGATATCGACGCGGAGGACGCGGGCCACGAGTCTGCAGCAGAGTTGAACCTCAACAGAGGCGTGACGGACCTGGACGCCACGGCCAAGCCCGCCGAGCCCGACCACGAGGAAAGCAAGGTGAGGCATCCAACGGCGCACTCCTTCAAATCCCCTAGTGGTCCACGCGTAGTCGCCGTTGACAACGAATGTCTAGATCGCAATGAGGACATTAAGTGTTGGTGTTAAATAATACGGAGATCTGTTCAAATCACTTTAGAAATAGTTTTAGAGCTCTATCAATTACACAAAGTGCATTAGTTCTTACATTTCAAAGCGTCATCTCTATTTTGTGCCTTTGCTGGGATATTTAAACTGACAGCAGCCCATATCACACTGGAACAGTGATTTAAGATACACTATTTAAAACTCAGTCAAGAGAATAATTCATAATTTTCTTTGGTTCTTTATTAGCAACTGAATATTTCTTTTTTAGTTTGACTGGCTGGACGCCTATAAATCCGGTTGAGGCTGGCGAAGTCTTTCACGCCAGCGGGATTGAGTGACCATGAACTAAATCCCATTGATTTTAGTGTTATTTAGAGTGTAAGCGAACTTTCCAGCAGCACATCTTGCATTGACCGTCAGCAAACGGGAGAGTAGTTTAGAACAGAAAGGTCCACACAAGGACGGCCATAAAAATGTGTCTGGCCATTAACGTCGAGAGTCGGCCTACGTTGAGGCCCGGAAACCTGGCAGGAAATCGAATATCTGTTCTGCGGCTCCAGATCAGGCTGACCCAGAGTGTGACAGAGGATATCCAAAGTCTACACCTTGAAGCCGTGAATGAAAATAAATGTCTTTCACGTTGATTTACATACATATACATCTACCTGCATCAACCATGTGTAGAAACAGAGCTTGGTTTCTAATCCGAGGCTGTCGGCAGTACGTTGAGCTCCAGGAATACGGGGTGACGGGAGACGGCGTGGCGCTTTGCTTGTCAGACCCTGGGCACCGCGTCAATCCGGCAACACTGGTGCATTCTAATGATGTTTTCTTTGGTGTTGCATCCCACCACATGGCTTTTGTGAGCGGTATTTTGTACCCTACAAATTGGTAATTGGATTTTTTTGTTTTTGCAACACCTTCTTAAATCAACCATCCATTTTAAGACATGATTGCGATTTCACATTTCAAGATGCATTATCAACACAACCTTCCCGTTCAACGTGGGGATTTATTTTCTACAGGGGCTGCCTGTAATCATTTTTTTTTAACCTTTCTGAAAAAGATAATTTGATAACAACCTTCCACAACATTTGGCTCTTTTCTGCAAAGGAACGGAGGTTTGATCTCTGGTCACATTTTGTAGAAAATGGGTATGAAGAGATGACATCATATATTTTTGGGCTCAACACTTCAAGTTTTAATAAAGTCGTAATCAATCAAAAAGGTGAGATTCATCATTCGAGCGAAGCTGTAGCCTGAAAAGTCGCCATTTTTGGGCCAAAGTTGCAAGCAGCTACCTGATTGAGCGTATGTTGATACCTTTATTATTATATCCCCTCAAGAGCAGATGTCACAAAATGTTCCACAAAGCTAAAAAAGCATGGAACACAGACATGCAGCAAAGAGCTCGTCCAAACAAGTGGTCCAATGATCATTCCCCCCTCTGCCACCACAAGCAACACAACGTTGTGTCGTGTTTCTGCCACTAAGCCAGTGACAGAGTTGCCTTTTGCCTCCTTGTTTATCAGATGCCCCAAAACTGATTCAAAGGAAGTTTTTCCCCAAAATATTCCCATTTTCAGGAAAAGCTCTGATGTGTCGTTAACTCTGAGTAATGAGGTCGTCCCTGAGGCGATCTCTGTTAATGGTGAATTATTAACAGGCAGGCGGCTACTGAAAGTGACACTAAAAAGTTTATTGAACTTCTTGCAGGACCTTAATGAGAAGGTTACAGGAAACATGCCGGAGGCGACAAGCTGATTGAAACATGCCGGTCAAGTCACCACGCAGAGACTCTGAGAGACATTTTGGGTCCTAACTCCGAGTCACAAGCCAAGCTATTCCGCCCCTAAACATTCCACGCGTCCCATTACTGTTTGAGTTGTAGGACCTTTTTTTATTACCATCCCTGATTGAAAGCAACTCGGCGTGAAATCACTGAAACAACGAGCTCTCTCCAACGACCTCCATTCTAAGGTCATTGGAGGAAGAGTGTGTGTGTGTGTGTGTGAGAGCCCGTTTTTGCACATATAAGGACTGCGTCTATTATCTTCAGTGTATTTTAATTTGACACATTTATCACTCCTGACAGCGTGGCAGATGAAATGAGAATGTGCAGAGATTGGTGGGGGAAGGTAACATTAATTTGCCTTTACGGCAGTGACCATGTGTGCGCACTTCTACGACCCGCCCGTGTGTGTGTGTGTGTTACGGAGTGGAGGCATTTGATTCAGGGTTCCCCTGGAAGCTCATGAAGGAGAAAGTCGCCTGTGAGCGTTGAAGTTCATTATATTTCCGTGCCTGCCCCCGTTGAGACGGACAAATCCCCCGTCGCCTACGTTCAAACCGTCCCACAAGCGCACATCGACCCCGCCTTGGGCTTTGTGTCCACGAGGTCCAGTCAAGATGTTACATTTTAGAAGGCTTGCCTCCCGTATCGGGGGGGGAGATGATTTCAGCGTGTAACCACAAAAGTCACAGTTGAGAGATAAGTGCATTTCAGTCATTTCAAGAGGCTGCACATGTTTTGTTTTTGTCTGGGCGACAGAGAGAAGGGCAATCGGTGTGGGCGTCCGACTCTACTGCAAACCCTCAGATAAAGGTCTTCCCTCTGGCCTACTTTCATGCAGGTGTAAACACTCGCATCCACGAGCGTTACGCTACTGAGAGCGCTCTCTTGTTTCGGCCCGCAATTTGTGTGCCTCAATTGTTTTGGTCTATCACGACGTGGACGGATTAGTGAGCAGTGAAGGACTAGAGCCCCGTGGGACCCGGCCAGGCTCGTCTGACTGTTAACATTTAATATTTTTATTGTTGGAAACTCAATGTCCCTTTTTTTTCCTCCTGCCCTTGAGCAAAAACTTAATGCAGTTAACTTAACGCTGGCTTTATCGAGCCAACATTTAAAAGGTATTCTTAGGTGGAGGACAACTCCAAAGAGATTTTTTTTATGTTAATATATATTAATATTTAACTTGAATAAAGCTCATAAGGCAAAGCAAACTGAGTTTGGCTGCTAGCTAAATCTATCCAGTATTTGCTCCTGAAAACAATCCATGTTATGGATCCGTAACCCCAAATAAATCTAACAATTTAATTCACTAAATTGAGTGTGTTCAATAGACGGGTGACTGATCTAATTTAAAGAGTCTATTCACAGCAGATCAGCTTAACAAATTGTACAGTAATTAAGTTTACGATGATCAAATAATATTTACTCTGTGGCCGTTTTATGTCAGAAGAAGGACCTCAGTATCCATAAAGTACATTAGAATAAGTAAAGCAAGTGAAATCTGAGCCGACTGCTTCGTGGGTCATATTTAGTATAATATATGGGAGGAGCGCCAGTGAGGATACGAGAGTCTCAGCCTCTATCATAAAATATTCTGATTTTCAACCTTCACTGTCACTAAAGGAGACGTGAGGGACAGACTGGTTTCCTTGTCTTCCTCGTCCTGTCTTCAGAGGGCACTCGTCTCTTCCTCCTTCGATGTGGCCCAGGTGGCAAACGTGGTTGGATCACTCAGTGTCCAAAAAGTCCCACTAACGATCAGACCTTTGTATTTGGAGGTAAATATGCAGAATGTGTTTGAGCAGTGCGATCCGTATTTTAAAGCTGATTATTTAAAGCGCGTTTTTAGTGGAAATAAAGAAATAATGATCTTCAGTCATCTTTTGGCAAATGTTTTACTGAATGTGTTAATACTTTTTTTTTTAATTTGTGCTACTAAATGCACTTTTCTAATGTACAACCTATTTAATTGGATTCATGGGAATCGTACCAATAGTTGAACAATTGATGTGCGAACAGACCTCCGATCTCTCTAAACTGCATCACCAGAAACTGAGTATTAGTCTGCGGTCGTTTAAGGCTGCGGTCGTCACGCCTGTTTCCCTGTCAGAGTGTAATCCTCTCACACGTACGATTACTCGCCCGGCTTCAGGGCAAAAAGTGACGATGACATGGAGGACTTGTGTGCGACGGCGGTTTGAGGTGAAAGGAGGAAATGGAGCTACACACGAAGGTGGAAGTCTCAGTTTCCCAGTCTGCGTGACTTGTAAATGGATGTGTTGAAACGCATTACGCAGCCGTCCGTCTGGAGAAGATGCGGCGCTGCCGGGAACATTAGCATTAAGAAATTCTGCACGGGATCATTTGTGATGCGGTGCACTCACACGGGGAGGAGACGGACTTTCCTGTGAAGAAGGACACGTCTTTTGTGGAAAGTATTTTCTCATCCATCCTCAGCCCATTCCTGAAAGTAAAATGTTGATGGTCTTGCTTTTAATATATTGTAGAACAATTTCAACAAAGCCGAACCTCACTTTGAAAGAGGTTGCACAGCCTCGTCTACGGTCTCCCTCTATTCCCCGTCTTTTCTACCCACAGCTACCAGCGACGTCCACTCCGCTCAAAACCTGTTTGCCTCAGACACACACACACGTTTCCCTCTGGTTTACTGCACGTTGGAATAATCCCGGTTGTGTTTTTCATGAATTTCAACCCTCATGTTTCCTGAGGCTGATTTAACGGGTTAGTCCCAAATAATCAAACCTGCTTTTACTTCCACATTGTCCGTTGTTTCTCCGCTCTCGCTTCCTCACTCGATGCCTCCATCACTTGGCTTTTCTCTCCATTAGGCCACATTTTGTGCTGACGTTGAATATCTTTCGCCAGGAATGCTTTCGGCGCGGTTTCTCATGGAAGATTCATGCAATCATGTGACTCTTTTTGCTCTCCTGAAACTATAGAAATCCTCAAAACAGCTGTTTAAACTTTATTAGACACAGCAGCTTTAAAGGAAGAAAAAAAGATCCTGGAAAACGGTGACTAACTGCAAGGCAAATAAGATCTAACCAATCACAATCACAGATGTGGGTTTACAGTTTTTGACTGCAGGTTTTTTTCGTAATCAAAGAAGAATTAAATCTGTATATTAACAACTAGTGTTGCAGCTATTTATCTTATTGGCACCAATAGCAGCACCGATGCTCCATTGCAGAGCCGAAACTCCAGAGGTCAACTATGCATTTAGGATACATTTGTTTGATTTTGTACAAAGAATTCCTCAGCCAGAGTGGAATGTGTAACTTTAAAGCTTCCTAAAGTAATTTGCCTTCTTTGAAAGGGATGAGTTTGTATTTTTAAAAGTTCTGAGCAGATCTGTGACTGAGATGTTCGTCATTTGAACTGTTCAAGACAGAGTGTGGTCTCGTGTTACATGCAGAGCCAAAACAGGGTTTTTCTCCTTGATAAAGTTGTAATGTACACTGAGGCTGTCGGCAGGGAAGTGTGTGTGTGTGTGTGTGTGTGTGTGTGTGTGTGTGTGTGTGTGTGTGTGTGTGTGTGTGTGTGTGTGTGTGTGTGTGTGTGTGTGTGTGTGTGTGTGTGTGTGTGTGTGTGTGTGTGTGTGTGAGTGAGGGGCGGGACTATCAGTTTGACGGATGGAAAGCACCTTGTTTAATCACAGCTGGAGGCTGAAATGGTGACATCCTTCATTCCATGTCATCTTCTGTCTCTCTCAACCCGCTCTTTCTCCCCTGGTTTCTTGCTGGCCTCTTTCTGTCCCTCGATAAGCCTCGACAGAGGCTGAAAGATGAAGCATGACTCCAGCTGTCCCACTAAGAGCGGACGCGTGTGTGTGAATTAGATGTTAACAGCGAGAGCTTCCCTGCGGCAGAACTGACCCGAGCAGTTATCGTGGGCTATTTCAGCGATCCGTTCCTTCCCCACCTCGGCATGCATGTTCCATGCTGCTGTCTTCTGTAATCGGGTTTGACTGAGGCAAACCGGTTTCGAGGCTCAAACGCTGTTTGAATGTTCAAGTCTGTGTGCTCACAGTGCATCAGTGCTGCTGTCCATCCCTCCATCGCCCCACTCAGTTTACCCAGTCATCTCCCCCCACACGAAACCCTCGGCTCAACCCACTTTCACTTTCATCATTTCATCATGATTGATCTCATCGTAGACAGCTTTTCGTGTCATTGGCCCGCGGGCCCTTTCTGGCGCGGTCAGCTGTTTTTTAAGGAGGCACTCTGGGTTATTGTGTAGTTCTTGAGAATAATTTGCCATCCAATCTTCATGGCTGCTTGGGTCCATTTTATTCCCTGACAGTGATTGGCATTTTAAAGTTACAGGTGACGTGTTTCAATGTAAAAATGATTTACCATGGCGTTTCTGGGATATTTAATTTACGTGGTTCCCTGTTTACAAACCAATATTCCTTCTCTCTTTAGCTCTGGTTAGGTTTTACGATGGAATCAAGGAAGTTTAACCAAATGACGAGTTTGATTATCGGCACAACTGCATGGAATTGAATGAGAAAATGTGTCCGAATGTTTAAACTGCAAACGTCATAAGAACAGGAGGGATAAATAAAGCCAAATAAACTGTTTTGGTTCTTCTGTTTAAAGTGCTGGATGGCTGCACAAATGTACTTCAGAATGAGATTCATTTTCCTCCTGCATAGTGTCTCATTCTGCGGCTGTTGAGTCTGTTTAAGTCCTTCTTCTTTTTTATTCCCTCTGATTGAGAAGTTTCTTTGTTCAGTGGGCTTGAAAGCCAAACATGTCGTAATTGTTCCTCTGTTAGACTGGCGGCTGAAGCGTCCTCCACTCACCCGGGCTTCCCCGTCTGTGTGACAACGCGTCGTAAAGCTTAAGCAGCCTCCTTGTTTAACATCCTTTAGTGTCGCTTCAGGTGTCTGCAAGTAGTTCATGATGAACAAGCTTCACGAAAAGACCTCAATCATGTTTCTGTTTTAAAGCGGCACTTCATTGGATCCGACATGTCCAACAAATGATTTCAATCACAAACTCTGCCTTGCTATTAATTATGTGATGGCATCAAACAACCTGTCTACTTTGATAATTACCTCTCATTAGCTAAAAGATTCAGCTCAGACCGGCCATCAGTCACGCTCCTGTGCGTTGCCGTGGTTCCCTGAAGGCGGGTTAAGGTTCGTGTCTTTTTGAAGCACCTCGTGTCGCCCATTAAGGACGTGACGATGGTTGGATTCTGTCACTGGCTTCGTTTTTCAAACCTCGGTGGCCGTGAGCCTGAATGCGTCTCAGGACGTGAGGCAGCAGAGGTGACGCTCGCACACAACCTGCGTCGGGAAGCACTTCCTTCCCCCTCAGGCTTTTTTTTCTGCCTCATCACGATATGTTTTCATTGTTTCTGGTTCAGTAGCAAAGAAGACCGGTGTAAATTGTTCAGCTGAACATCCCAGCGTTTGAAATCCTGTTGCCCAAACCTCCTCGGAAAGAGGAATCGGGTGCATTCGAGGAGAGCTTTTTATTTTGTTTGTTTACTTCCTATGCGAGGGGCCCCATTGGAAATTTTGTTTTCACTGAACAATCGCAATTATCTGACTTCCCAGGCAGATAACCGGTTCTTCCCCACTTCCAGTTGTTGCTATTTGGGATTTCACAATGACCATCAAATACCAAACGGTGCTGCTGCTTTATTCTAGCTGCGACGTGATTAATGCACCACGTCTCCATTAAAGCATTTAGTTTGGACTGAATGTTATGAGAGGCTCAACGTGTGATAGTAACTAGAACTTGATCATGAGGATGCTTGATGGCGCTAGTTGGAGAACATCGAGTCCCAGAGCTCATTATTGTTGGCGTGAAGCGTCTCAGAGTCACTGATCTGGATGTTTCAGCCGCACTGCTGCAACTAATCACCACTTCTACATTTTAAATTCTGATTCTTGTTTTGATGATGACTTGTCCTCTAAGGCATTATATGCATGTCCAGATTATATTTACTTTTTCATTAGTTGCTCCTTTTCTCATTTCCCTTGTGCATTTGTACAAAAAAAGTCCTCAAACTTTTATGTGAATTCAAGTTTTGAAGACTGATGAAAGACAATTTAATTGTTTCAATTAACTTGCTTAAATCAGATAAAATATGTGAAGGAAGTTAAAGTAAAACAAAATATTGTATTCATTTTATTACTATATATTGTTTGACAATAATGTTGTCAGTTTTACTTAAAGTTACTTAAAAGTTTTGGGGGATACATGATAAATATTTTCATAGCTCTAAGTCACTGAATATTCTCTCTCTCTCAGGCTTCAGAGGAGGCCTCTCTGCTGATCGCCAGCCCCAGGATGCTGCTGCCTCCATCAGGCACGCTCCCACCAGGCGCCCCCCTGTCTGTGCACCACCAGATCCAGCTGCTCCAACAGCAGCTCCAGCAGCAACAGCAGCAGACACAAGTGGCTGTGGCACAGGTACGTCCCTCCACATCCACCACTGCTATTATAGTGTTCTATGGCAACTGCAAAGAAGAAACAAATACCATGTTGAACAAGTAGGGGAACAATAGGGGCAGAAATACTCTGCTTAATTGGCTTTCTCGGGTGTCAAATACCCCTAATTCATTAATTAATTGGTCTAATTCCACGTAACATGTAACCTTTAAAATGTGTTAAATAAAGACGAGAGAATAGCAAAATACAGGACATTATATTAGTATACTATGATTATTATAATAATAAAACGAAACCTAGATTCAAATGTAGTGGCAAACAGTCTTTATGTTGGCGAAGCAAATGATCTTGATGAGCTGGATGCTGCTTTGCTTTGGCGTGTCCTGTAATTTTTTTTGCTTGACCTACTAAATAATGGTAGCGGATAAACTGAAGCAGTTTACTGTTATTTTGTCCTGGTTGCGTGCGATGCAAACCGTTGCTCCCCCAGGCTGGTCGTGGCCACTTGGAGTCTATCATTGCAAATGCCATCTTGATATCTTGTTTTAAATATGTAAATAGGCCTTTGTGAAGCCACACCGCCTGATGAAAAGAACCGTGTGACAGTTGGAAACACTCGGGGATCATTTGACAGAGTGACGGAGATCAGCAGCTACCTGCAGTCCAATCTGGATTTCAACAGAGAACTTGTGCACTCGGCATTAAACATCAATCACACAGCTTGAGTGGCTGCAGTGGGAGAAGTAACTAATGGCGCCAACGGCTTCAAGCTTATGGGCTGGATCAAACCACACACACACACACACACACACGTATATATACGTGCAATTTGTCAGCCTGCTTCCCAAGGGCCTCGAGAATTGAAACTGTAATTGAACACGCTGTCTTCCGCCTTCACGCACACTCACACAAACACAATCCCGGCCCAGAAGTGTCTGAGTGTTGATTACTGATGTCTCGAGAGAGACGGACGCAGCGGGTCCCTCTGATTGAACTGCCCTCTCAACCTGAGGCGAACTGGTCAGAACCGAACAACGGGCAGACTGCTACGTCTGTTTCCACTGCCTCATTTTAGGCTGTTTGTAATGGTTGCTCTTTGTCTAAAAACAGAAGATTGGAATTTAGCGTCCACCATTGAACCAGCAGTTTTCAGTGCACTGGTCTGACTTTAAAAGTGGGCCATTGGTGCATTTTACTGTCATGTGTTGCCGTAAATTATTTTTGCCTGCTAATGTGTTAATAAGACCAAAAAAATTTAAAACATCACTGTGGGCTCTGGGGCGCTTCTGATTTGCATGTTTTACAAAGTTTTTCTTTTTTTTTGTTTTTTCTGGACTCCGCAGTAAAATAGTTTGACACTTTTTTCAATTTGAATTAAATCGAACAAGAATGAATTAGACACTTTAATGAGGGCGATTTGGCGGCCGCTGCAGTTTGGGCTCTGAGTGAGTGACCACGTCAGGTCAGACAGACATTTTGTGCGTCTCGTAGGGGTCAGAAGGGGAGGAGCTTACTCCACCACTGAAGGTCAACCACTAGGCCGTAACAACAGGAGGAATTCTGCTCAAATAACTACTAATAAGAATAACTAAATCTGTAAAAATCTTTTCTGGATCCAAATTGCCAGATGCACATTGTGGCTGAAGACACAGAGGAAGAGACGCAGTACTTTGCTGTCACAGTAGGAAAACGCCTGCACAGCTACAGATTTGTATCTGGGTTTCGTGTTATGAAAACTTTGTTTTCCCCTCAAAAAGAAGAAGAAAGATCTCCCTCGTGTCGTCGCCTCCGTTTCACACCAGTCTAGACGTTTGCCGTCCTTCGGTTTTCACTTTTCTCTCTTTGAGTAGCTATTTCTTTAATATTGCGTTGTCTGCACCTAAAGTTATTTAAAATCCCTTTTCAGGATCTTTTTAAGGTCGAACCTTGTTTAGTATTCCATTTGTAAATTAAATGTCTTATCGTTTCTTCACATCAATCATAGAGCAGATAAATCACTGATAACCATTTTCTATTTGGGCCCTATTTTCTTCAGCTGAACGAAGCCTTGTCAATGTGGAAGAAAAGACCAACGTGGTGATTATTTTTACCCTTGCCCTCTGTGCTGATGAAAGTACCGGTAACTCTGTGACCCGACCAGGAAACTTACTGTGAAAATATTCTTGATTTTGAACCCTGCTGCAGTCTGAGCAGAGGTCACAGCAAATGGAGCCTGATTAGCGAGATAATCACAGCACACTCTGGGACGAGTCGTGTAATGCGCTCGGGAAAGAGAGGGAACGCGCGGCTCGTCTGTTTCAGGATGAAGTTCAGTCTGCAGATGCTGCTCCGTCGCGGCTAAATACAATTTCATCCCTCAAAAGTCCTCCGCTTCCGTCTTTCCCTCGGTCCTTCCCACTGCACCCTTGCATTCCTCACTGACTCCTGCTTTTTGAAAATGATATTCTACCACTGACTAACATAAATGTTGTTTTCTCCCTCCTGTGCTCTGTGTCCTTCTCCAGTGACCCACATGTTTTTTCTCTCTTAAATTCATAGATCTTTGCTCAGAAAACACCCAACCTCCCTTCCCCCCTCTTCCTCCCCCACTGTTTCATAGACTTTCTGGTTCTCTCACTTAATCAAGCACTCTGTCCCGCATATAAGTGCATATCTAATGGGTTCCTTATCATTGCAGCAGTCAAAAGATCCATTTCAAACACTTCCAAATCAAAGGGGCCCAGCGTGGACTCGCGCTGCGCTGATGGTAATCCTGTTTGGAGAGAAACGTGCTCTGCAACCGATACTGTGGAGTGACGACGCACATCGTAGGTGTAGCGCATGTGACGGCAAACTCTCAATTAAGAGCTCGAATCCAGTGGATGTTGCTTGAATCACGGGGAGCCTGTAGGGAAGGTTGATTGTATGTCCAAATCAGTGATGCGGTTTCCATTTCAATAAGAGAGAATATCAAACCGCTGTGAGAGAAGCTGTTGGAAGATGAAAATTGGCCGTGGGCACTTTTGTTGTATGGAGAATTGTTTTTGAACAAAGAAAGCAATAAAAAGCAAGACGCTGCTTCCTAAGTGGAGCTTGGAGGAGTCACTTCTGTTGCCTGAAGCTTCGATTTCATGATGCTCCCATAAGACGACAGAAAACCTGGATAGGTTCACTACTAAGGGACCACTTCAGGGAAGCACAGGTGGAGCGCCTTTTTGATTTAACAGGAAAGATCGACATGTCTGACATCCAAGTTTAGTCAGTCCTTCCTCCTTTCTGTGCGTTTGTTAGTCTTTATACCAACCTGCATCACTGATGCACTCTAATTTAAGATGCACTTTAATTAAGATCAAAATGGGCCGAGACTTTTTTTTGCGGGGGGTCAGCTACTCAAAGGACTTAGCGTTGTCCTGTTTGTACTGTTTATGCATTAGATTGTTCAGTGTCTCTTACCAGCTACTGCAGCTTGGTGAGAGACATTCAACATGGACAGCATCAGGGACAATGTGAGCCAGTCCTGTATGAACCAGGCCGGAGTGACCGATGCTCCATTGGCGGTGTCAGCAGGGCAGCATGAAGTCAGCAGGGCAGCCGCACTCTTCCGTGGCCCAAGATGGGCTCCTGCCAGTCGTAAATTACACCGCCAACGTCATCGTCTTTACAGATTCTTTGAGTTCTGCAGAGGCAGCCTGGCAGCAGCACAATGTGAAATCGCCGCTATTTGTTGGCCAGTAGAAGGTAATGGAGGTGGAGGACCGCCTTCCTCGACAACTCTGTGTGAGGGGTGGATGTGAGGAGGAGGAGGAGGATGGAGGCCTCTGTAGAGACTGCTCGTATTCTTCTGCCGCACTGGCTCCCTATTTATTTTTTACTTTTGAAGGCTGGAAAAAATCTTCAATGTGTAAAAGAGACGCAAGAAAAGAATCAGTCAATGAAGGAGAAGAGAGGGAACAAGGCAGAAGGTGATACATTTATTGAGTGAATCAATAGTGTGTCTTAAAAAATAAACCAGAGGTTTTTCTCCATAAAATTACTTTATTTTTACTCTGTTCTATAATACTGATAATGAATTTTATTGCACGATTTTTGAGTCCTAAAACAATTTAATGAATGTTTAGTCTGTTAATAAATAAATAATAGAGATTGAACTAATGACTAGTATTTATAGATATTATAGAATACCAGCATTGTGCGGTTTTACTAGATGGCACTAACTATAACAGCAACACACTCGATTGGCTAATGAAAAAATAAAAAGGTCAAGTAAACATCTAGAGTAAACATCATCTCAGATCTTCAGAGAGCTGAATTCCTGAAGCACTTTCTGCTGTGTTTCAAATGCCAATTACGGTTTGTGTTTTGTAGTCTTTCCCTTTGAAAATGTCCCCCATGACGTCATGAGCGGCCCCGGTTTCCACACGCAGCCCAAATGAGAAACCAGCCAGTGTTTACGAGTCTCTGCGACTTCACGGCGCTCTGACGGTGCTGAACTGCTGCTGTGAGCGCGTCACACCGGCCGCCTGGTCTGCTGCCCCCTGATTAAGCCCCCTGATTAAGCCCCCTGATTAAGCTATCGATACGATCACAACGGAGCGCAAAGGTTTAGACGCACTTCAATCTTCTTAGTGTGCAGCGTTCATTGTGCCGTTGGCGGATAAAAACATGTTCTGCTGCCTCTTCGCCTGTTAAACTGCCGACATTTGAAGTCCTGCTGGACGGTTCATATTCCAGGGTTGAGAATATTGTGTGTGTGTGTGTGTGTGTGTGTGTGTGTGTGTGTGTGTGTGTGTGCCTGCCTGCCTGCCTCTTCTGGAACATTCTGGCTGTTTGAAAATGCCTCCTTTCAAATTGCCGACGGCGAGTGAAATATGTGAACTATAATGAATGATTCCGAATGTTAAAGAAGCCGTCGCCTTCAGTTTGTAAATTAAAGCCGAGTGGCTGCTTTGATGTTGCAGACTGAGGCGCTGTGGTTACGCGGGGATCAGAGCGGCCACCAGAGCGCCGCTACGCCTCTAACACAAATGCAATAGACGGATATAAAGCCACGGAAATAACAAACCAATCATCTTTTATTCAGCACCTTGGAGGCTGTACTCTAAACCAAAGATTGCTTTAGAGATCGCTCACTGTTGCTCACTCGCAAACGCATTATTCACATTTACACATTTAAAAATAAGAACCAAATGAAGGACTGCGATGGTTATTCTTCACACAGAAGAATTCAATATTTAGTATTCTTAGTGGCCTGCCGACCGTGATAATTCATTCATTATCAAAATGTTCATTATTTTCCTAACTTTATCGATATTTTCAACAAAAGTGTCAACTTTTTTTTTTTTTTTTCCTGCAAGTGTTTTTTATTAACCACCACGCAGTGAGAATACAGCGTGATAGATCGCTGCTATCTGCAGAGCCACGCACATCCTCTCGCCTCCTCCTGCAGGTAGTTACAAGGTGAAGGACTAAATAATAAATGATCATGTTTTATTTAAAATGAGTGTACTAATTTACAAAGTTAAATGTGAAAAAAGTTATTACCTGTAATCTAAAGGCCTGATTCTTGTTTTATCATCTCCGCTCATCTGAATCTCTAAATTTTTTTTTTTCTCTTGACATAAGAGCAAAGAAAAACTGCTCCCCTAATATTTTAAATGTGGCTGAATGAGCACCTTACATTTAGAAGAGATGACATCTGCTTCAAAGGGATATCTTCAGAAGACAACCTAATGCGACACACCAGTAAGTGTCCATTTATCGCTGTGCTGCCCACCAAGCAGCATCGTTACTGGAAACGCTTGGCGGACACTGAAACCTTTTTTTGGTGCGTCGGTTGTTGTTTTCCTCGTTAAAGGAGGTGCAGCACGCGTTTGGTTTAAAGGACAGAGTTAAAGTAGTGCTCATTTCTGAGGATCGACCCGTGGAAAACGTTTGCATACGCTGCACTGGGCACCTGTTCCCGTCTCCTCCTTAATCCGTCCGTCTCGACTCACCTCCCCCTGTGCAGGTTCACCTGTTGAAGGACCAGCTGAATGCGGAGGCCACGGCTCGGCTGGAGGCTCAGGCTCGAGTCCACCAGCTGCTGCTGCAGAACAAGGACCTGCTGCAGCACATCTCCCTGCTGGTCAAACAGATCCAGGAGCTGGAGCTCAAGATGTCTGGACCGAACTCCAGTAAGTGGATCCCAACAGAGAGTTTATATACATCAGTGCACGCTGGCTGTCTTGTAAAAGTGTTCTGCTGCAGAGAAACACACATATTTGTGGGACACTGTCGACAGAAGTTAGTTTTACATAAAACCTATTGCATGCCTGTATGTCATTATATGCAAAAAACAATGGGAATTTAGGCTTAGTTCAATCCAATACAGCACTGTTCTGGAGCCAAATCCAGGCCAAAAGTGTTGGTCTTGAACATTGAATCTCTGTTTTTAGATAAAACATTTTCATTCCTCACTTGATATTAGCTTGCAGATTTTATAGTTTCAGATTCAAATCCTATATTAAGTTTCAAATCTTTTTTCACTTTTGGATGTTATTTCTTTGCTGACCTGGCGTGGGGGGGCGTGCCGTCAACTGAGAGGGGCGCGTAATCCCCGCTTAGTGATGCATCTTTTAATTAGTTCTTTCCTCTGACTCACTGTTTGAGCTGCACGTTTCCTCCCGCGCTCCAACAGTGCTGCAGATTTGACCAAAGCCGACAAACATTCTACATAAGGAGTTATTTGTCAAGTTTCTATTGATATTTTCTAGATGCTCTGATTCATTTTTTGAAAACTCTGAAACTGCTCTGAATCTAGACTGATTACGACTCGAATCCTCCATGAAGAACTACAAACTAGTTCATTCGTAATGCTTAGTAGATAAACTCCTTTAACATTTCCTTCTCTCAGGTCTGTTCTGCTTCCATGAAGGAAGCAAAACTCGTTTCACTGAGAAGCTTTGAAGATGATGAAATGCTTTTGATGATGAAGTTGTTGTTTTTTTCTTGCTTACCGATACAAAATTGATTTATTGGTGAGTGAGTGATGGATTTTGTTTCCAACACGATTCAGATATCTACATCGCAAACATTATCCTTCTGTCATGATCCGAGAGGAGGGCTGGTGGCTTTAAAGAATTTAAACATGTCACGGTGGAACATTTGAATATGAAATGTGACGCGTCCTTAATTCCTCTCCGTCCCTCTGCTCATTCGTCACTTTTTGTCCCCCCTCCTCTTCCTCTGTGCAGTGGGATCTCAGGACAGCCTGCTGGAGATCACCTTCCGGTCTACAATTCCTGCAGTCATCTGCGACCCCACAACACCCAAACCGGATGTGTCCGCCCCCCACCTGCCCGCGCTGGGCTCCACCGACGGGACCGGGAACGCCTTCTCGTCCTCCAATGGGACCCTGGGAAGCCCCCTAGGTAGGGACAAGTGTCTTCTCAAACTGGAGTGTTTCCGTTTCCTCCCGGGGCCCCCGCGCCCTCGGCCCGCCTCGCCTCCCCCGCCGCACGCGGCCGTCAGCCAAGAGGCGCCCGGGGGCCCGCTGGGGCCGCCGTCGCCCGACGTCAAACCTCTGAGCTGCCTGGACTTTGCCGCGAGGTTTCGCGAGTCAGGCATCGCCTCGGAGTACGAGTCCAACACGGACGACAGCGACGACAACGAGGACGAAGGGGGGGAGGACGAGGAGGACGAGGAGGAGGAGGAGGGGATGGAGATCTTTGGCTGGGGGAGGGACGAGGAGACACTGAGGCTGCTTAACGTTCTCAACAGACAGGAAACTCCCGACTGCCTGGGAGATGAAATAGCGGTTTGACACACTAACCGGCTCCTCTGGAGAATCAACAGCCCGGATCTGTTTCTGCTCATCACACAAAGCAGCCTGTAGGAAGCAAACCAACCTCTGCCAGACAGCTACACACACACACACACACGCACACACACACACACGGGAGGCTTACGCCGGTGTAGCTAATGAAAAGACTCCGAGAGATGAAAGTAAACGCAGGCAGAAAGAAAGTACCTGAGAAGCCCGGATCTGTTCCAACGGAGTCCGCTTGGCTTACGTATAAATCCTCAACACCTGAGCCACTCGCGTGTCCTCAGGAAGAGAATCTCAGCAACTTGATTTACTTTTAGAGAAGCCTCGTTTCCAGGTTTTTGGGGCAGCCAAACGCTATTAGCGACAGTTATTTGTTCATTTTTTAACTCTGGGCGAGTTGCTTTAAGAACACTGTCTGTTTTGACGTAGTTTTCACCCAAACATATAAATCTTTCAATCTATCAATTCATTTCTTTGCTATCATCAGTGTTGTATTAAGTGGATCCACACAGCTGTGGACGTTCAAGCAGTTAGAACATGTCGCTGCGAGGAGCCATATGAATGTACGAGGCGGTAGCAGCAACTGGAGTTCCTGATAAGCGTTAGAATTAGGCAACGCTGTTACTCAGGCCGAACGCACCAGAGGAATATTAATATCACGTGGTCACACCAGGGGCGACGGCCTGCCTCTAATCTCTAATCTATGTGCATTCACGCTCATTATTTAAAATCCCGTGTCCTTCATTTGCCTTTGTCTTCTCTCTATTGCCTCAACTCCCAATATTTCACCCACGCTCCCAGGGCGTTTGTCTTCAGACTCTTTCCTCCTTTCATCGAACCAGATGAGTTTGTGAGCGCGTCTGTCTGCATCGTGGTGATGTCAGCGGGGGGGGGTTGGGGGTCGCCCGTGGAGGCTGACGAGCTCTTGTCCTTGCTGGAGAGACAAGTGACTCTTGTGATGGACGCCAGCCAGAACCTGGCGAGGAGCTTCATTTCTGTCTGTGTTTGGAGAAGCCAAGTCATAAGGATCGTTATTAATATTCAAAGACTATTTCTAGACAAAGATCTGTATGTGTTGTGTGTGTCGGTCCTCGTCTGGTCTCCTCACAGCGTGTTGACTTGGTAGTCAGAGCGTGTTTGCGCTCTCTTCACTTGTCAACACATCCCCCCCCTTCCCTCCTCGCTTCTTGATTCATGTAAAGCCAGGATTAGTCGGCCCTCGTGGAATAATGCTGTTTGTTTCTTTTATTCATCCCGTAAACAAAAAGTTCTTCATGCCAGCACAGCGGCTCGCGGAAGGGTTCCCGTTGGCTTAAAGCCAGCCGTGTGTTCGGCACACGAGCACGGCGGAGGATTAAAGTGTTCACTTTGTTTCACGGGGAAGAGCCACGGGGCTTTTCTCTCCGTGTACTGTGGCTTTTATCAGAGCGCTGCTGTCAAACGGGTGAAGGGTTCGCACAGGCGTCTAAAGGGGGAACCGGGCTGATAGGATCCATCCAATTGTGTGAGTCACGAGCTTTTACTGAAGGATAACGGAGATTCAATCAGAGATGTTATTTCTCTGAAAGTTTGTTTGAGAAATGACTTTTTAATTTGACTTAATCAGTGTGTCACGAGTGTGTTGGAGTGAGCGGTTCTATCGGAAACCACACAAACGTTGAATTAACAAGCAGCCACCGTCAAAAAGAGCGAGACTCCCAGAACCTCCAGAAATGTAAATTATTACAGGAAATGAGGGCAGAGGCAGATGTAGATTGACAACCAATGTACATTCAAACTACGGACGTCATGCTTTGCGGTCAGAGCTTAATCGTCCACTCGGTGACCTATTGTTCCACTCGAGATGTTTTCATTTATATTGAATCCTTTCATCTCAAACAGACTCAAAAACTCCCCCAACGCACATTTAAAACCACCACGCGACCAGCTTTGTCTTTGTGACGCCGTCCGTCGGCGCCTGCAGGGCTCGCTTCTCTCTGAGCGCGCTGGAGTCGGATGAGAGGAAACTGATCACAGATCAGACGCGCGTGTCAGTTTAAAGGCGCTTTCCTGTGTTTGACACACTCTGCTCCACGACAACTTTTTCCTCCTCTGGGTTCATTCTCTTTGTTGTTATGACGATTATAACGATTACTGAAACTCACTAACGCTGCCCGTTCTCCATTTGAAGGGAAACGTTTGTCTGATGATATTAATGAAGAAATATCTCATCTCCAATCAGCAACCACATTCTAAAAATGCCAATCAAATCATACCTTAGCAATCAACCTCAGATAATACGATCATTTCAAATTGAATGAAATAACCATATAAATTACCCCCAAAAATACGATATGAGCTGCAATAAATCACCAGTTAAACTCATCTTCACACGGATGTTACAATAATTCAATAGTGAATTTCATCAAAGAACGTTTCACTTTATCAGGTAAGAAATGACTTTAACATCAAACTCGATCCCCTTTCGGGTTGATGCAGTGAGGGTTCCTGGAGACGAGGGCGTGTCTGGAGAACAGGTGTTATTAAGTCATTGCAAATCTATAACCGACGACACACAGAACAAACACAAAATAAAGACGCTACGTCAATGAGGTATTTTGTGCATTTTTAGCACCCTGTTCGATTTGATTGTACAAACCCAGATCATGAAGAATGAACATACAACTATTTCCAAATACCACAAAACGTATATAATTTTCAATATGTATGCAGTTAATGTACAAGCGATTATCTCCTGTGGTACTTTTTGTGATTTTCATTGAAAAGACTCGCCAGCTATTCAGAATGGAGAATATTCAGCTGCAATTCTATAAACCTTTTGTGTTCATACTCATTTTAACAAATGTAATTGAATGCGTTTTTTTAGACGTGTTTATCTAATTAAAGAAAAAAAAGGCAAGTAATTATGAGAATAGTAATTGTGGCACTGCATTATATTTCAATTAGCGTAACCGTTCTTTTTGTTTTGTTTCCGTCCTCTTGGCGCCCAAAAACAGCATTGAAATCTTGCCTTCTACATGCTGCCAATCTGTGAACCTCACATCCGTCGTCAACTAGTTGTGTGAAAGCAAAATGGAACACATCAAAGTTTACGGTTTCACCTCCTGGACTTGTTGTCCATTGTTTTAATGTCAATGTTTTCTATACAATTTGTTTGCATTTTGCACCAAACGTTGGTTCAAACCCTGAAGTGGTCCTTAGAAAATGTGAAGACTTTATTGTATTTTCCTAATATTTCCGTTCCTGTAAGGACATGATCACAAGAATCGTAATAAATCAAAGAGTGCACACTCTGCTTTCTGTTTCTGCACCTTTGTTATTTCCATTAATACGCCTTATCATTTCTTTACCTGTTCTCTTCCTTCCCGGCCTGCTCTTCACACCTTTCTCTACATCAGCCTTTAGTGTGGATGCTCCCTTTCATATCATTGTATTCCTCTCACACGTGTTTGACCTTCTTCTCCTGTCGTCTGTAGAACGCAGATCCTCCTCAGACCTTCTTCCAAAAGGCCCAGCGTGCTGTAAACGTCCTCTTCCTGTTTGAACTCATTCCGTCATCTTTTACTGCTTATGGATTGAGCCGCGTGTGTTTGTGGTTGCTGTGGTGCATTACGTGAGAGGGGGATGAGCTGTGATCATCCGGCGTACTTCAGTAGCTCGTAGCTGCGCTGCCTTTAGGAAGCTCAGGGAACATGTGCCTCTAGTTTTCTGATGACGGGGGCAAGAAAGATCATCTCATGATGTAATATTAGCAGAGGGACCATTGTGGAATCACTACGTCACAAAATACTCGCCCTTCAAAGGCCTTTCAAACATTGCGTTTCACACTGCATTGGTTAATCCGGTCCAGTGCGATCTCTGCCTCTTTATCTGTGTGTAATCAAGTCATTAATTGTCTCGTAGGGCGCGTCGTCGCCAGCCAGTCCATCGATTTCCCCCGTCTCAGGCGCGCCTTGTTGAAACTGGGGTTAAGGAGCGCGACAGCTCAGGAGCGGCGCCAATCAATACGCGTCTTCCCCACGAGCTCCGTCGGCCACCCGCAAGGACGCCGAGGCCCGGCCTACCGACACACACTCGGCCGTGGCGATGGACAATTTGGGACTTTGGGGTCTTTTTCCAAAGCCTTACCCCCATTTCTAAGGCCGTGCAGCAGGTCGATGAAGTTGACACGACATTGAGTTTCCCGGCTGAAGGCCAAAAAGCTTCTATCGCAGTCAAAACTTCATTCCGAGTTCTGAAAGAACCACGGATAAATTGTTAATGTGTGCAATAACCGTACATCCAAAAACCCAATATTGCTGTTAAACAGTCCTGCTAATGGATTCTTTTATTTCGTACACATTGTACTTGTGCTCACCAATTTTATTTCAGATGAAAAAGGGCTAAAGTTGGTAGGTAAAGCATTGTTCATGCACCTTTTCAGTTTAATTATTTACTAAATGCAGAACAAAAGATGAACCACGGAAGACTGAGGCGGATTCTGGGGCTCTGAGAGCAGCCTTCATTTTGCCCAACAAAAATCCCCCTTTGTCCCAACACGCGTCCACAAACCGCTCCGTGGTGTCGGCTGCCCGCGCCCTGTGCTTGTGAGGAGCATCCTCA